CTGTCTGCGGAATGTGTGACTCGACGATGTAACGGTCGGTTTGAGAGTAAGTTCTACGATCAATCTACTCCTGAGATATGACACTGCCCAACAGTCTAATCTATCAGTCCATGGAATGACAATAATTTTTGTGATATTGACAGACTCACAAAAAAATCAGTCCTGGAACTTTATTGCCAGACCTTGTACTTAATTCCAGAGCAATTGGATGAATTTTGCTCTTCTCAAGTCAGAACTTGTTGAACTGAGGTGATGATATAACAATGATGAAAGAGCATACAGTAGCACCTGTGTATTGCATGTGCTATAATTGAAGTACATTTTCTTCATGATTCATGAACTCTATATATTAACCCTTTACCTGTAATTTTTATTTTTATTTTTTCCATGTGAAAAATATTCATACCTGAAGAGATTAAGGAAAAAATCAGTGTGCTTTTTTGCCTTTAATGATTCAAAGTGAAAATGAGCTGAAAAAAAGGTTTTTAGCTATGAGATTTCCCCATACCAGTTCCAAACCCTTGTTCTTATGACAAAGTTTCATTTTCCTTCATTTAACTGATAGAGGGAATCATAAATGTGTTCTGCCATGGTGTACTTGCAGTCTCATCAAACTCTTCTGGACCTCTAATGTTCCAGCCCTATTCTATACCATAAATAGACTACAAGTTATGAAGCAATGATGAGGATAGGATAATTTGTGAATGTTTCAATGTTGCATTGGTGGTATGGAGCTCATATGCTTGTATGGAGCTAGAGGATGACTTGTTCTGCTGCACACAGGCTATAGTTCTATTTTGGAAAATGCTCCCGCCTGGGTCATCCCCAGCCATCCTCTTATTCCTAGTTTCTCTTACTTTCTTCTTTCCTATAACCTAGAGGTGTATTAGTCCTAGCATTGGTATCAGTGTCTCTCCGGATTTTGTAGGCAAATGTATAATATTCTTTTGCTCTCCATTACATGATGCCAATTTTGCCTTGTATTGTGATTCTCCACTTCTGTAATAAATTATATGAGTGCGTTTGGTCAATTTTACATCAAGTAGTTCTATGGTAATGACTTGTCTATAAGTCATTCTAGTTGTGTATTTTTTCTGGCTGGCTGATTCAGCAAGCCTTTCTGGGAAGGAGTTGGTAAGAAATTGGTCAAACATCTCCATAACACTCAACAAAAATTCCCAGGCAGGGTATCGTCAAGGTTTGTGGTTAGAGATGTTCTGATTAGGGAACATCAGTCAACATTGGAGTTTTTTCCTGGCATATCCTAAAATTTTTACTCCTGGGGCAATCAATCTACAAAGAAAAGAGCATCTCTTCTGCTCATGGGATTTTTCTTTTGAGAATTTAGTCATTTAGTCACCCAGGATCTTGTCTTGAAAGGATATCCCCTCAGATTATGCTAGCAAAGATATCATCACCATCACATATTTTCTGTTTCTTGTTGTTTTTATTCATCACATTTTAGTCTATGCACTTGATTGAAAAGCATAGTGTAGTGATTGTTGGAGAAGGAAATAGAGTGTATTTGGGATTGGGGAAATATGTACCCATTTCATTTGATTTTGGTGAGTTAGGAGGAGAGTGTGAATGAAGATGAGGAAGAAGAAGAAGAAAAGATGAAGGAAAAGAAGCCATTGAGGAGGACAACACGCCGTCAGTTAGACATGGGAGAGAAGGGTGCCGCATCCTTGAGAAAACCCCACACTCGTGTCACTGATTCATCTAACAGTACCAGCTTTACATCCACCAGTCAGCTCCCTTCTTCTTTTTCTTTTCTCTTTTTATGATCATTAATAAATGTTCATGGCATGTTTGAAAGGTATCCTTGTATTTCCAGTTGATGAAACTCCTGTAGAGAAGAAGTCACGACGATTGTATCAGCAGCCCACTGCTCTTCTAGAGGAAAGCCCCAGAACTGTAAGACCCTTTCCTCGAGTATTACCCAACACTTTTCTTTCAAACTGAGGTTGTGCTCATCCTAAAAGTGAAAAGTGCTAAAAATTTCTTTGTATTTTGAGTGAGATGCTTAATGTCAAACTTCTTTTCAATAAATGCTGATAGAATTTCTTAAACTCAGCAAATTCAAATGGAATTTTAAGAATTACTTGGAAACATACTCAAATATGCATTGTGAAAGTTCAGTGGAAATGGCTCTAGGATGCCAGGTATCAAAATGATTGATTGTTTGCATACCTTGATGCCTCCAATAAATGGACAAAGTTTGGTGGTTGCAACATCACTCATTCTAGGTGCTCCTATTTCATTTGCCAGCAGTGTATATGAATATGGAAAACATTTATAGTTGCGATCCATGGAAAGTAGAAAGAATGGAAATTGGCTCAGAAAAGAATTTCAGGCCTGACTGCAATTTGCAAGCTCTCCTAGTTTGAAACTGTAGCATATCTAAGAAAATGATATTTTCCTTGATGACATTTGAACTCTCACAATGAGGTCACAGCTTTTTGTGAAGAGGCTTTCTATGGTTTAGGGAAAAGAAGTCTTTCTCCTGTGACAATGACGAAGACTAAGGAATTTTATATTTTTATTCCAACTCCAATGATTGCAATCACATTTTGGCATGTAGACATGCATTTTTCAATGCAATATTTCCTTTTACTACTCCCTTGCTAATTTGATTTAAAGAACCTGATTCTTTTGAAAAATTGTTTTAAGTTTATTTAAATCACTCACTACCCTCTGACAGGCCAGTTCTTAATTTGGGGCCACCTCTTATTTTGTTGTCCAATGAAGCACTTTTGGTAGAAATTCAAATGCTCGCTGATTCGATTACAAAATCCAGTCAATGCATGGAGTAATCATGAACTCTCCTTTTCGGTGAGTTGAAATATAAATTATTATATTTTGGTGGCACATGGTATTGTTTTCTCTAAAATTTAACATGATTGGGCTACCCTTAATCCATATGTCCACTCATTTCTGTTCACTGATTATTCTTGGATTCTATGTGCTGGAAACAGCTCGTGCACCTTGGTATGTAGCAGCTTGATGGATGATTTTTTTCTTTATTTGTTGTTTTATTGCAGTCTTTAGATCCAATGGGAGAAGAGACTTGTGCTGCTGCTGCGCGTAGACTTCGAAGCCGGAGGGGACGTCGTACTCAACAATGAGTAACTCCTTTCCTTCCTCTGCTGCATTTCTGTTTTTCTTGGTCACTCAGTCATTGCATGTGGCCATTTTGTGGCACTGGAAAAGTTGGAGACACCAGTGCATTATTCATCAGAAGTGCTCTCCCAATTTTATTCATCGTGATTCAGTCCTTTGTTGGTTCTTACATTCTTTTTGATCTCTTTCTGGCAATGTTTGCACAAAATTATCTGCAGGAAATAAAATGTGTGATTGCTCAACTCCATTCTCATGAATTTAAATGGCGTCATTTATCCATCACTTCTCTTGCTGGCCTCATCATGATGAGGTCAATGAAGGACTGCTAAAGGGGATAATATTGGGTTGGCCGGAAAGTTCTTGCAGTTTCAGACAATATTTGAGAAAACAATTTTATTCAGCAACTATACAATATCAGTCAACAATGTAGGCACCATTGTGTTCCGCTACATGTCTCCACCTTCCAGCCAGGGAATGGATTCCGCCGTGGTAGAACTATGGGGGCTGAGACTCAAAGAACTGTCGCAAGTAGCATTCGAGGTCTTTCTGGTCGTCGAACTTTTTCTCTTTGAGGCTGTTTTGCAGGGCGCGGAAAAGTAGAGGCAGTGAGGATTTATATTCTACAGAAAGTTACTACATGGTGAAGATGTGAAACTCCAATATGTTACAACTCACTTCAGGTGGCTTTTGGTTAAAATTTGTTCTTTAGTTTTTCACACAAGCATATTATATGGGAGCGGATTTTTATGCGCTAAGTTTATATATTTTAATGCATCCCACCATTATTACTTTTTTTTTAACGGTGTGCGGAAACTTATTGATCGCCCCTCGTATATGCCATCTTGCCATATGCTTCACCCACTGAGTGGAGTAATGAGAAGCTTGGAGATTAAATCGGATGCCTACTGGGCATAGTTCGTCTATTTATGTCACAGCCAGGAATTCGCCAATGGCAGGATAAGGGAAATGGATAGGTGGCTAGAATTTCTTTAACTTCTCGAGAGGGGGGGAGGAGTGGCAGATGCAATTAGGCCAGAATTAGCGGCTTCCCCGTCCCCTTCTCGCTACGCCACTGGTGATAGGACATGACTGATGGAAAATTTTCGTTGGTTGCTCATGAAGAAAACATATTTTCCTGGGAAACCTTCCTTTTTTATTTTAAAATATTAAAAAATATATATGCACATATATGCTTAAATATGCACATTCTGAGAAAAACGTAAAAATGTGCGTTTCCATGCGTTTTCAAAACGGCAAAAATTGCTTCCTCTACTTATAAGACATGATCCCATAAGGGTTGTGTGCAACCACGAGGCTGCAGTAAAAATATGCATTTGCATAAACATCCTCTCCCTAATTATGATCAAGAACTGCATTTCGTGTGAGAGACGAGAAGAAAAGAAAGTCTAATTTGCCATATACTGGAGGCCCCAGAATACTTGTCATATTTAGTGCCTAGTCAAACAGCACTTAAATGTTTAAAAAAAAATTGTATCTAGCTTTGATAGAAGCTGTTGCAAGCCCTTTCATTTGTTCCACTAACTTCATTCAAACTGACGGCCTTCTGCAAGGATGCATACGAGGCATTAAGAAACTGTTTCCTCCCCCCGTACAAAGAAAACGGCACAAAAGAGTAAAACAATGTTTTAATCATTGCTTAATCTCTCAAGGAGGAATCATTTCAGTAATCAATAAGTTTTATGCTGTCTCCCTGATCGCCTTACAACTCTCATTCTATCCTAGTATGATTTCAGGTTTTCAAACAAATCAGTCAGTTTTTATATCATTCCAAACAAAAAGCAGATGGGTCATCAAGACATATTTGTTGAAAGGATTGCCAGGAGCCTCCTGCATCATCAGACTTCCCACCCTTTCTTTCATCGCTGCTCCAAGATGCTCAGTTCAGATCTGGGAATCCACAGGATATTTTCAACTATGTGCTGCGTCCAAAATTAGCCTTCATACTGCACCAGTCAAAGCCAAATTTAGAGTGGAGGAAAATTCTATTCATTAAGGAGGCTCCATGATAGGAGACACATCTCCAAGGGACGAAATTTAGTACCTTTAAACGATGGGTCATAGACGAGATGATTTAGCCTTCCGTCTTAAAATTTATCTTAAAATTTTATTTTTATTACATTAGGAGCTAAAGGTATGGTGGACCCCGCTGTCATGTGGTGGACCGACACATGACTCGCCCACCATGGTGAGATCCTCCCAACATGAGGGCTGGCAGAGAGCAAGACCCTCATGAAGCTAATGACTTAGCCCTGAGAAGGTGACTCATGGCTATTCTTGGAGTATGACGAGACAACTTGTCAAGACACTTCTTGCAACATTTGATGGATCGCTGGAGCTGTATTCCCGGATTGAGACAAAATGTGATGAAGCATTGCTTAACTCTTGGAATATGACAGACGCCTTACACACTGAGTTGTTAAATTGCCAGCCAAATTATCATTCAAGATGCTAGTTAGATGAGGACTGATATGACACTGTCCAACAGTCTAATCAGTCCATGGAATGAAAATAATTTGTGATATTGACAGACTCACAAAAAAATCAGTCCTGGAACTTTATTGCCAGACCTCGTATATATGAATATCACTTTCATGCATTGTGTTCCTATTATGTTGAACACTAGTAAGCAGATCAACCTTTAAGCAGAAATTTTTTGCATGAAACCTTGAGACTGTTGCATTTTGAAACAGTTTTGATTGCCTGGCTTTCCAAAAGAATGTTATTAAACTGACATGATGATACTGTATGTCTCTATTGTTAGTAATGATGACGATCACAAGGTCAACGATCAACAATAGCATCTGGGATGGGGGAAGGGTTACATGATGAAAAACCAATCCAAAAATATTGTAATGATACCTCGAACATTATGAGTAGTAGGCAGGCCTACCTGTGATGGTTGTGGAGGAGTAACAGGATGCTTGCGTTTGGATCCAGTGGTTGCCAAACGGGCTCTTCCTCGTTTTGGTTTTGACATTGGTGTCTCCTTCACCATGCTTGCACCTGGTACCTATGAAAAGACAACCATGGACATCTACACCTCCCCTCACAGCATGAAGCATCTATGTCCACAACAACAAATAACCCTTTTCCAGTCCACTGTCAGGAGAGCCCAGACATTAGATTTTTCTCAGGTAGGTTCAATGTCAGGGTTTAGAGAGTGTAAAAAATGTGCTATGTTTCCAGCATCATTGTAATAAAAAAACTAAGAAAATTCCTAAAGTATATAGTGAGAGTGACCAGAGTGGGGGTATTTAAATCAGACATGGGTGGGAATACAATTTTCAGGAAATATGGACCAAAAATGGATAATGGTTCAAATCACCCTTTATCCGAAGGCATTCGAAGAATTGGCCACATCCACATATCTTGGACTAATTTCACAATTGTCCCTTTCTTCAACAGGGTTTCAGTGATTAATGACTTTTTTAAGTAGAATTTTTGCCCATAATGAAGACTTGTGGTGCTCAAAAAAGGAGAAGTGAAAGAGTACCTGAATTAGAATTGTCAAACAGGGATAAGTGTACAGTGATTTTGTGCTTCTTTCGCCTGGATGATCCAGCATCCCTGTGCCACAAGAAGCTAAAGTAAGCCTTTCGGGGGGCAAACCCCATCCCTCCCAGTCTTGCACAAGTGGTAGGGTATGGCAGTAAAAATTCCACCTCCACACTATATATTTCAACTCAATCAAAAGTACAAGCAGAATTTTTCAACCAAATTATGCAAGTGTTTGATCCCTAAACATGAATGGCCAGTGTATGAATTTTCCTCTTGATTGGCATAGATCTGAAAAAGATGATTATCGAACCATTGGTGAGGGGGTGGATTTTGGGCTTAAGGGGGTCAGAATTTGTATCACCTACCATATAGCTGTTTTCAAACCAGGCATTTCTGCCATGACAGCACTCCACACAAGGGTGGGCCTGAAATTGCTCCAACTGAGGCAAATGTCGAAAGTGTGGAATGTGCTGAATGAAGAACGGAAATTAACTATCTGTGAGATTCATGAGACTCCATTGGGGTGTCTGAAGGGCTGGTACATAAAATTATCTATGAGTGCCTTTGAGACATGAAAACTTGTGCTTGATGGATCCCCCATGCACTGTCAGCCACCCAAAAACAGGCTCATGTAGAATTTTGCCACTAAATGCTGGATGAATATAGCTGAGAGGACTCAGAAGATGTTGAAAATATTGCCAGAGGTTATAAAACTTTGATCTACTTTTATGACCCAGAAACCAAAAACCTGAGCTGCCAGTGGGACTTTGATGGAGAAGACATTCTGTTGAAACTGTCATGAAAGAACTGGTGGAAAGGTCATGGTCACCATTTTTTCTACAGAAATAAAATACTCATGGTTGTGCCCTCTGATAAATGTGAAACTGACTGTTAGATGGTATGCCACCAAGCCAAAACTCAAAGAACTTCACCAAAAGCACCATAAAAATGGGTTGCATTAATGGAAATTCCACAAACACAATGCTCCAGCACATGTTGTCAAATTGACAGCTTCCTTCCTTGCTGAGGCAAAACCTTTGCCTGTGCCACAGGAAGGCAGAAATGCCTGGTTCGAAAAAGGCTATATCACTCATGCACAACTGGAAGGGATGGGGCTTACCCCTGAAAGGCTTATTTTAGCTTGCTGTGGCACAGAGATGCTGGATCACTCAGATGAAAGCACAAAATCATTGTCCCTTATTGATAATTCTAATTCAGGTACCTGGTCACTTCTTTTTTGAGCACCATGAGTCTCCATTACAGGCAAAAATTCCAAGAAAATTCCTATTAATCACTGAATTCCTGTTGAAGAAAAGGGCAATCATGAGATTAGTCAAAGACATGTGGGTGGGACCAATTCTTGAAACTCATTGAATGTCCCTTGTACAGGGTGATCAGCCTAAGTCTGACATTTTATTCCACAAAAATATCTGTAACATTTTGAAAATTTTAATTACTTTCAAGAACATGCATATGTTAAATCTTTCAGAGTTTCTCAATCTATGTATGAAAGATGATAGTGGGCAGATGGCCTTCATTATTTGCAATACAATCCTGAACCTGTTTTCTTGTGTTTTGCATCACTTGTTGACACAGGTCACTGTCAATGTTTATGGTTTCCTTGTGTTGCACCTTATGTGGGTCACACTCTTTGTAGCAAAGTAAAATTCTACAATTACAGAGCTGGGTCAAATATCCCAATGTGCCATCTTGAACAAAGCTCCAATGATGTTGCTTTCTACCTGACAAAAGATGGATGATTTGTGATTGAGCTTTGGCATGATACTTGTAATGGAAATGTGTCAGATTTAAGCTGATCATCCAATATTAAACTATTTTCCCTGCCAGTCCACATCCAAACAAATTACAAGGATCATCCAAACAACTAGTATAAAAAAAAACTTAAAAAAACTACAGACCTACCAGTACTTGGGATGAACAATTAAAAGTGTACCTATTCAAAATGCATCAGAAAAGTGTCAGTTTTAGCAATACATTGTTACCAATTTGAGAGGCTATATGGCATGGCTATAGGAAAAAATGGCTGCAATTTCAGAACATAATCTAACCCTGGCATGCAGAACTGCAGGTGGTCTCAGCATAATACTGAGCTATAGTAACATGCTGAGGCCACCTTCTTGTGGTCCAGGAGAAGCACACTAGGATCCAGAGACCCCTAAAAACTGGGACCAATCTTCTTGCTCCCTTATTTTTTAGGTTTATCCATACAGTAAAGAGTGAGGGTGGCATAGGAAGGGAGTGAAGGGATAGGTGCTTACTGATCCATTGACCTACATGTATGAATGGACTGTACCATGAGAGCATGCAGGCAGGCTCAGACAAGAAGTGATGAAACAACAAAAAATTACTATGACAAAGCCATCCATGCATGTAGACATGAGTCATGTATGCATACTATTATTTTATTTAGTATCTAGCATATCTCAGGTTAGTTCAAGCCAGGGCTGGCAAAAGATAATAAATTAAAATAAAATAAAAAATTAGATGTTCTAAATTTAAATTGGATTTGTTAAATTTAACACATCTGCTACAAAATGTATTTTGCTGTTGATTCTCCATGCCTGAAGATTGACATATAATGAGAAAAATTTCCCAGTGTCAGTCATATGGACTGACACAGTAGTTAATGTAAAGATAGGAATGAGATGATGAAGGTGACAGGAATTCAATCTCTCTGACTCACCTCTTTGCTTCTTAACCTCCGAATCTCAATTTTGGCTTCATCAACTTCTTTCTTCTTTTGCCTGAACAGAAGAACAAAAGTCTTTTAGTAACAACATGATCAATATCCACAAACATGGATGAGAAAAAAGGCAAACTCTCATAAAATAAAAAAGATCATTCTAACAGGATAATTGATGAGCAAAATCAATTGTTTATATCAATTGATGTCAGAATCTAGAAAATGTACAAGAAAATAAATTTTCTGCCTAATTGTGATTCAGTTGTGATTTGTATCACCAGAAGTTGTAGGTCTATCTCATTCCATAATAATCCAGGCAGGGCCTTGTTTTTGTCATAGGTTTCCTTTTCCCCTCTCCCCCTTCTTCAGACCTTCACTCCATCATGAATGCATAAGCTCACATCATAAGGGTGTTGTTCTTTGAATGCATGCATGCATGCACAGAACTGAGATGCCAAAATCCATAGATCATCTTCAAACACTACTTACTATTCAAAATCATGATTCATAACATGTAAGATCATGATATACAGAAAAGCAAGAAAACAGGGAATTGAAGACTCAGCTTCGACTACCAAGTACTTGATTAAAATGCTGAATAATGTGATTGGTGACCAAACTTCTTGCTCCTCTCAAATGTGTAAAATCACTTGTGTGCTAAAACTGCTAGAGATGAATGGGCAAACATTTTTCGATGCTCAAAGGTGTGTATGAAAGAAATTTATTTATTCTAGCAGCTGTTTTGGAGGCACTATATATTTTCAAAGAGCAGTGCATTTTTTTATACTCATGTTGTATGTTCCTCTTGAATTGTCCCTCCCATGGAACTGGATGGAATTAGAGGGAAAACTTTCAGGAGGGAGATATAAAGTCATTGGAAGTAGTGGGGTCAGCACATTCCTGCATGTATCAGGAGTGACAGGGAGAGTAGAAAATGAAAAAAATAGACAGAATGCCAAAAATAGTTTTATAGGGTCTTCCATTGACCATCTGTTTTCTTTTCTGCATAATTTTCTTGAGGAGTATCCTACCCTCCCAACCCTACACTTGTCAGTCAGCCATACTGATGCTCCTTGGATGTCTGTCCAATGGAGGTAGCTATCCTTTTATAGCAATCTTCTGCAAGCAGTAATGCCAATAACTCTTTCAATGCTACTCCAGTGTACCTAAGATGTACAGGGTGGCCCAAAAAAAAAACGAATGATACTTTAAATGCCGATATCTCGCAAACTGTTAAAGCTACAGAAAAAAATAAAAAAAACCACAATAAAGTTCAGTTCAAGCCCTTTCCATTGATATATGGTTTTTAGGTCGTAGCACCTATCCAATGGTCACAGCAACCATTTGAAAAAAGCATACCCCCCAAAAAAGTTGCAATGCCTATCATCCATTCCTCCTTCAGAGCAATCTCTGTCATTTTCCTGCCATAATCTTTTCATATAAAACTGGAAGAATGATTGAAAAATTGGTTTAGTCCCCAACAAGCTGCTGTTCGGGTTGGATAGGTCTTTGCCTCCCCCTTCCTCTTTAGACCACCCACATTCAGAATCGACCAGTTTCAGCCTATGCGTGTGTGGCCTTGAGCTGGCTGGTGCTTGCTTCATGTGTCTAACTTTTTTTTTTTCTACCCAGGTTAAAAAATGAGTGCAAGGCGTGGATTGACTGAAAGTGATGAAAATTTCATTCAGGCTCTTTATGAAGAAAAAGGATATTCCCTGGCTCAGATCCTGAAAGAATTTCCTGACTGAAACTGGAAAAAAACAACTGTTTGGGACTTTCTGAAAAAACTTTGTGATACTGGAAGTGCAGGACGTCGTCCTGGCAGTGGTCGTCAAAAAACTGTCAGAACTCATGAAAATGCTGATCGCGTTCACAAACTTATTCTGAGCCAAGAAGGGAACCCAGGCACAAGCAAAAGTGAACGAGAAGTTGTTAAAGCTACCAGGATTCCACGCTCATCTGTTCAGCGCATTATCAAGCATGACTTAGGGCTGAAAGTGTTCAAATGGGTCCCTGTTCATGAACTGCCTGCTGCTGTGAAGAAAAAACGGGTCACTCGGTGTAAAAAAAACTCCTGAACTGTTTCCGAAGCAACAAGTCCATAAAGAAGATCTGGTTCTCAGATGAAAAACGGTTCACTGTTGAAACTCCCCGAAACACTCAAAATGACCGTGTACATGCTTCTGTGGGCTGCAAAAAGGACATCGAACCTTCCCGTCTCCTGCGTGAAAGAAAGCACTTCTCGGATTCAGTGATGGTTTCCCTGGCAGCTTCTTCAGAGGAGAAATCAACTGTCGTTTTTGTAGCACGTGGTGTAAAAATCAAAGTGAAAAGTTACTGTGAGGACATCTTGACGCTGATGTTGGCGGAAATCCATGAAAAAAACCCTGAATTTGCCTTCCAGCAAGATGGGGCTCCTGCCCACACTGCCAAAGAAATGGTAGCCTTCTTGCGCAGAAACTGTAACGACTTCATTGAGCCAGAAAATTGGCCACCCTGCAGCCCTGACTTGAACCCTATCGACTACTTTGTGTGGTCAGCCTTGGAGAAAAAAGTCTACTGGAGAAGGAAGATCTGCGACGTTCAGGATCTGCGTGACCGCATTTGCACTGCATGGGAGGAGCTGCCCAAGGCCTCGATCTGCAAGGCGATTTCAAAATGGAGAGGAAGATTGCAGGCAGTTGTTGACCATGATGGTGGTCACATCGAACCATTCATTGAAAATTAAAGGTTAGTAAGGTTAATGATCATTATAGCATAAAATTGTAGGAAGAAGCTGCTTAGTTCCCTGTTTTACAACTTTTTTTTAGGGTATGCTTTTTTTCAAGTGGCTGCTGTGACCATTGCTGTGGTGCAGGTGCTATGGCCTTAAAACCATATATCAATGGAAAGGACTTGAACTGAACTTTATTCTGTTTTTTTTTTCTTCTGTAGCATCAACGGTTTGTGAGTTATCAGCGTTTAAAGTATTGTTCGTTTTTTTTTTTGGGCCACCCTGTATGTATGACTATAAAGATATGTCATTCATACAATCTTTGGTGGGAATTTTGCTGTTTTCAGTTGACTGGCTCTAGTATATAATTCAGTTTTGTAGGCAAAACTGGGCATACTCTTTGGTGGTCTTCCTCAAGACAAGTTCCACAAGATAACTGAAATGATCAGAATCACACTATGACCACTCATCTCATTCACCACTGATGGAAATGTGACTGGAAATGCTGAGCAATGGGTATAAATGGAGTATTTGAATATAACTTAATATATTTTCTGGAGAACTTGGATTTGGATTCAAGAGCTTGCTAGTACTCAGTCCTTGGAGACAGACAGCTGTGGGATTTTCACTGGGATTCACATGTTTGGAGTTGCAATTAAATTCCAAAGTGGCAAATAGTGGAATACTTTGCAACTTAAGATATGCCCAAAGCATAACCATCTCAATTCATAGAGTCAACTCAGAAGTGTAAGCAAAGAGAATTAAATACAAACACATTTAGCTTCATACTCTGATCTGATGTGAAGTTACATGGTCTGAACTGGAACTGAAGACAGCAAACTCAACTTTTGGAAGTATCTGGGCATGTACAGAAAAGTTCTGGATTCAGACATAGAATCAAGTGAACATTTCTGGGAATATGGATCTAGAGGCAAAGGTACTTTCTGGTTTACAGCTAGGCAAGTCAATTGATTGGTGGGAATGAGTATTAAGAATTGTAGCTCCAGTTAGGTTAAAAAAAAAAGAAGGGATTTCTTTGTTGCCAAAGGCATAAAAAACAAACAGTTTATATATTGCAACTCACTCAATATCAGACATAAGTTGTTCCTGCCGTAACCTCAAGCTGGTGTTTTCAGATTGAAGCTTCTGATTGTCCATATTGAGGGAGTCCAGGGTTTTGTACAGGTCCTGTAAAGCAGCACAAGATTTCTTGGAATCTCTCTCCATACTTCCAATCTCCTCTTCCCGTTCTTCTATCTTTTTCTGCAACACCTGTAAAATTGCAAGAGGAAACCTTCCAGGATGCAGGAGTTTCTCCATTCTGCCAACATACAGGTGGTCAGCTATTTGTCAAAATTACTCTCAATCACACAGGATACAGAAATAGAAGCCAAAATTCAATCCAGAAAGGGAATGATATGTATAAGGAAGTAGAGAAGGAATTCACCAGAAGAGTGAAGTTCAATCAGGCAAACATGATGGTTAACCCTTTCACTTTCCACGTTTCCAGGATTTTTTTCCATTAAAATATTCCTAATTATGTGGGACACTCCAAAAGTCTTGATCAATGAGGTTTAATTTCTGCTGGTAATGATGAAAATAGTTTTGAAGAGCATGTGTGAATAGATGGCGTCTTAAGTGAGCACATCCCCGGTGTGGTTGTTACATCTCCATGACAAGTTTTCAAAATGGCAGACAAAAGGTGTGTGTTGTTGAAGCAGCATGTAGTGAGAATTCCTCGTGAAGGAGGGTGAATCTACTGCAGAGGTCGGCAGTATTTGAAATACAATTATTTGAAAAATGCTTTTTAAAAAAATTCTAGTATTTTTTATTTTGCATTTTTTTTGCACTCTACCCTTAATATATTAGGTATTGGTTTTTTAAATACTAAAAGACAAGCATTTTGTATCTGCATGTGCTGATGAAAATTCAAAATGCTTTAAGTATTTTGCATTTTCAAATACATTTTCAAATACAAAATACTTGAAGCACTTTGAATTTTCATTGGCACATGCAAATAAAAAATATTTATCTTAGAGCACTTAAAAATGCAAATGCTAAGTATTGGTTGAATAGAGTGCTTAAAGTGTGATATAAATTTTTCTTTACAAGTATTAAAAAAAGCATTTTTCCAAAAATGTATTTCAAATACTGCCCACCTCTGATCTGCTGTGAATATTCATAGACATATCCATAAAGTACAGGTCACATAGGCATCAGTATCAATGCAGTAGATCGCATCATTCACAAGCTGGGCTCTTCCAAAGTGTGTGCATGGTGGGTGCCCAGACAGTTGACAGAAGACATGAAAGCAAGAGGGAAAACAATTTGCACCCACCATGCAACCCATTGTACACAAACTTTGGAAAAGCGTGTGCCTTTTTTTTTTTAGCAATACTTGAAACAAAGTCTATACAGAACAATATCTGAGTTAAGCATTTCCCAGTGTCTGACCTCCTTTTAGCTGTAAAAAGGGCATGTGAGAATGTTTCATAATTATGTCAAAAGGCCCTACATTTGAGGCAATAAAAAAGAAGAGGGGAAGAAAGGTATCAGAAAGGGGATGGTTAAATTGAAATTAAACAAATAGAGTGGGGTAGGTATAAGGGACAGACTGACAAAATAATAAAGAAATGACACTTACTTCTTGGAGTTCACGATCTCCCTTTCGTGCAGCTCGGAGGCCTTGGACCTCCTTTTTCTGAATCCCCATTTCCTCCTTTACTTTCTCCATTTCATGCTCCAACTGTTTCAACAGCAATGCATTTTAAACTAACTCCCTTCATATCATATTCTTCCTCCCTTTAAATTTAAGATAAAAATTCTTCCAGAAACAAGTAAAGAAGAAAATCACATTCAGATTTTACATTTCCATTTTCCTTTCTTGGTATCTGTTCATGCTATCAAAACAGCTACTAATACTGCATGCCATGGTATCCAGGACCCCTAAGTTTCTTTCAAATTCAGAATGACAAGTAAGACAAAAGCATCAAATACGCATAGTAATACTGGTTGGGTAGAAACTCTCGTTAACCCTGATCACTAGAAAAACTTTGTTGATGATAATAAAGAACATTAAAAAATGGGATTTTCATTCAATGAGGAAATGGAATTCTGTGAAACAGGTCACTGTGGCAGACATCTCAGGGATCAAAATGCAAGGAAACCATAATGATGTCAATTGACCTTCACATGTTCTTTTTGAAGATCTGCATTTTGCTGATCCTTGCGTGTAATTTCCTCCACCAGCATCTTCACTTTGAAATCCAACTCCTGATTCATCTTTGCATACTCCTTGACTGTCTCTTTAAGATTCTTCAACATCTCCTTATGCTGGCCTTCATCAGCATCAGTCCTTTTTTGTAACTCATCAGCAGTCCTAATTGCAGAATCCAGCTTTGAGAGCACCTAGATAGAGAAATCTCTTATTCAAGTAGACAAGAAAATTATTGTATTTACTTATATATAAGGCACTTTTTTTTATTTACATATTTTCCTACAATCAATAAGGGGGTGCATCTTATACTTGGGAGGAAATTTGTTTTAACACATTTTTTTCAACATACCTATAATTCATATGTCATTTATTGAGACAGAAACAGCATTTGCAGTCAGTCAGAATAGTGAAATTCTAAAAATAGCATGTAAACTGTGGGAATGGCTACGTTATTTCACCACTTTGCCAGAAACAATCCTTTTTTTTTTTCACGAAGGTCATGGGAGTCTTTCGCGCCCTGCTCAATTTTGTCTCGTCTGTCTTGTGCAGCTTTCCCTGATGTCATACTTTCAACCTAATGGGTGGATATCAAACTCCTTTGCTTCCTGAATCACTTTGAGTTTTTCACCAGCATTGTAACTTCACCATTCATTCCCCATTTTCACAGATAATGAAATGTGTTGGAGAGACTGATACAATGAGACTGAAATGCACCCTGTCATACAAGGTCATGACAGTGAAAGGGAAACCAGGCTCGACTGACCTGGTGACCAGTTTTTCCCTTTCCCACCCTCCTTGTCCCAGAAGCCTCTCACTAAAAAATATGGGGTACGCCTTATACACAAGGAATCTTTTCTTTAAACGAAATGGGACATCAAAAGTGCATCTTATACACAGTGGTGCAATATGCTGGAGTAAATATGGTAATACTTGAAGGATAGCTTAATGCATTGACCACCAAGTATGAGATATCTCATATTACACAGTACGGTGCATCACACAAACTCCGGCATGGAAGTAAACAAGTTATGGGCATGTAAGTAAAAAATATGAAAGATTGGATATTAATTTTTTTTAAATACTTTTTTCAAATTTCTGCAGCATGTGAATAAAAAAAATGGTGGCATTCAGTATGTTAACATTACAAGAGAAGTGTGTCACTTGCAATTTCTAAAAACAGGGAATTACAGCTACAGTGATTTAAATTACCACTCCAATCAAAGCCAATCATTTTCAGTGGATGTTACCACGTTCCCCCTGAGAACAACTGAAAAAATACTAAGTGGAATAAATATTCATATACATATATATATAAATAGACAGACAGATATTGAGAAGAGGAATACCAAAATCATCATGAGCAGAATGAAAATACATTCCAAGAATATCAGTGGTATTGGTGTCACACATGACCTTAAACACCTTTAAAATAAAAAAATCTGCCATCATTGTAACCACTGACTCAACTGTGGGTCACCACAGGGTCACATCACCATGAGAGATTTTTCTGGTATGAACTCTTTCCAACCTATCTGGGCTATTTCATCAATGCCATAATAAGACATGGCATACATTTTCTTTGTGGCCTATCTCATAGGCTAAATTTGGGTGCTGGGTATGATTGAGATGAATAAGTTAGATAGCTAAGCCCACAAAGATCAATGGAGATATGGAAGTGGGGAAGATGTGAGGTGACTCACCTCTGCATGTTCTGCCTGTAATTCTGTATAATGTTGAACCTTGGCCATCATGGTCTCTTCCAGATCCTTTGCCTTGACTTCCAAATCTAGCTTCTGCTTGGAACACTTTTTGAGTTCCTCTTCCATATTCTTCATAATTTCCTGATATTGTTGTTGAATATCATTCACCTTCTCTTCCAATTCCTCTTTGGCCTTCTTTGACAATTCTAAAGCCAAAGTCACCTGCAGATGAGAAGCCATCAGACTAATTTTTGAGGGATGGGTCCCTTTTTTTTTAGCATGGTTCAAGGGCAAGAAGCACACTTCTTTCTGCACATGAATGAGGAAGGAAAAGAAAGAGGTAGGGGTAAATACCCAGTGATGGGCTGCAGCACATAAAAATTCCAACAGCTAAGCTTCCAAAGCATGCCAACCCCTATTGTGACACAGGCTAGCAATATGCAAGCATCTACACCAGGGGTGCTCAAACTACAACCCACAGGCCAGATCCAGCCTGTCGAAGGATTCTATCTGGCCCACAGTAAGATGCAACCAGCATGATACTTTTTGCCCTCAGCTTGCCTTTTTATCTTATCCAAAAATCTCAAAACACATTTCATCCACTGTGTTCAGAAGGCCGATTTTTTGTAACCAAAATTCAATCATTTTTTCTTAAGTCATCCTTTAAGATATTTCAAATCTGAAAATAAGCATTTTGTAGCTGTGTCTTTCTTCTTTCCATTATATGCAATCAGAAAAAATATCCATGAAAGCATCACACCTATAATGTGAGTTGAAAAGAGTGCCCTTTTTTTGGGCTACCCTGTAGAAACAGGCGCCAGTTGAAGTCACGTCAGTCTCCTGCTTCTCCTGCTACTCACTTACACACAGACACACACAATCACCCACACACACAAGTGGATGTGAGTCAGGAGGGAGGTCCAAGAAAGAAGAGCTGCACACGAGGATTCAAGATTTCATGCAAATTGGGAATTAAAACCCCGCGTTCTCTATCACCTGGGAGGAAGTAAGCAATCTTGGTGTCATTTGATCCCTGAAACATATCTCTATGCGATAGGAACAAAAAAATCCAGTATTTGCGACTGATGAACCAAGGAAATTGACCTGGTAGGACAGAAATGGCCTCAATTTTAAAATGGGCCACAGCAAAAAGTGATAGGCTACGAGGATAGCGAACAGATTTTCACTAAAATCCACACAAAGCTTCTTGAGAGACTTCTTAAGAGACCTATCAGAGGAATTTTTTTATTTCGGCTTTGTTTTTGAGCAATGTCTGTCAACCTCAAGTAATTTCCAAAAAAGTGGCATTTTCATGTGGATCGTCAAACTTTGAGAGTGAACAGTTAGAGAAAACTATGCGCAACTCCGCCAAAAGATGGATCAGGGTAGCTTCCAAAAATTGTAGCATGCTTTTGTTGATAGAAAATTTCTATGAGGAATGAGAGCGAAAAAGCAGAATCCAAAAATGGAAATTTTCTCAGTTATGGCGCCATGGCGTCTCGATAATGATGGTTACATGCATGTATTTATTTTTCACATTTAGCATATCTTCCAAGGAGAATGGCATGAATTTGACTTTTCTGTGACCAATGGTTGGGAGATACAAATTTTCGAAGAGAGGCATGTAAATCGTGACCTTTGATCTCAAATCATGGCCCCAGGTGTGACCTCAGAGTCAGCAATTGGCTCCAAGGCCCTTTCTCGAGGTCCCTTACAACAATTATAAAGTGGAATTTTGATCCAGGGGGGGGGGTCGATTTTCATCTTCCCATAGTACCTTAACAGCTAACGAGATCCGCCTTTCAGTTCTGGGAAATAAAGCATTTTTCGCTCCCCAATGACATACTTTGGGTGTCCACAGATTTATGCAATGGAGCAAATAGCTGTACTTTTGTCTCTTGCCAGTTCCTGTCTATGTCTCCTCAGGCATCCCAAGTCCTCATGTTCCATTCACCTAAAACTCAGGATTATAATCCAAGTTCTGTTGAGTGCTTTCCTAGGACATTGCACTTGATCAAAAAGCTGAGATAGGATTTCTTTAGCAAGTGCATAATTTAAAATTCAGTGTATTACCATTCTTTGATCTCCACTGGAGCAAATTCCAGTTGTTATAGGTGTGGGTATTTCTGTTTCTGAATGCATGCTTATGTATGATTTCTTTCTATTTCTGCTTTCATTATTATTTAATAAGTTCCAGTGAAGGTTCTGATTAGAGGGGCCCCTGAAAAGAGTCACTGTCCCTGCAGCCCACAAGCTGGAAAAGTTTGAGCACCCCTGACCTCCACACTTCAGAGGTGTTCATGTTACTTATTCCAATTTTTTTTAGAATTTTCCTGCACTGTGGCCCATCATTGAGTACATGCCCTTAATAGGCCCATCATTGGGTGATCTTTTTTTATTTTTTATTACTGATTTGTGTGGTACATATTGTCTTTTTTAGGAAGCACCAGAGAAAAATATCAGGGACTGTGAAGCTCAGGGAAGAATGAATTTTGGTAAATTAATCATTTCATGATTTGGTGCTACCCCATGGTCCCATGATGCACACTACCCAGACTTGGCAGCCCCTAATATATTTTTCTATGGTGCTTCCTAAAAAGCAATGTGTATCACACAAAACCAAGGATTGCTGATGACCTAAAGAACAGAATTAGGAAAGTTATCACTACCATTGAGAAAAACACATTGCAGGCAGTAATGAATAATACATTGGATATGTTGGAGGATATTCGGGCTCACCTGGATTTGCTGTGCTTGGAGTTCAGTGATACTGTCATTACTGTTCTTCAACTTTTGCTGCAAATCTCTCACTTCTGCCTTCAACTCAAGCTTCTCCTTCTCCATAGTCTGGAGTTTCTCTTCAATTTCCTTCATACTCTCTCCTTCATGGTCTCGTTGCACCAACTCCAACTTCTGCAGTGCCTTTTCAGGATGATCATTGAATACTGCTCTGTGGCATATATTGGAGTGATGTGAGAGTTTAAAATTGATTTTTGTTTCTATATGCATCTAATTTTGTACCAAAAGGAACTGTCAAATTCTCACCCAAAAGATAAATAATTTTGATATTGGATGTCTTTCCTGTCAGACTAGAACTATGTCAAAGAGAGTCTGTAATGTGCAAGTAGCACTTGGACTGTTGTACAAAGGAGATGGATTCAAACATTTGAGGAGTCTTCCATGGAAGAAAAGGATAAGATAAAATAATTCCCTCAAGACAAATTCATGCAACCATTGCAGCACAACACTATGAGTGATCCCATAGATAATTTTCAAATTTAGTGCAGCAAAATGATTTCTGATCCATTGCAGGATATTGCAACAAATAATATATTTACCTCTGCATAGTCCTGCTCCAGCAGGTCTATTTTCTCCTGCATTTCTTCCTGGTTTTTGTTTGCTTCCTGGAGATGAGCAGCATAGTTGCTAGCAATCACTTGACACTCAGCTTGAGAATCTGAGAGTTGTTTCTTTGTTAGCTGAAGCTGAGAAGGAAAAATGAAACTCATTAAAAGATTTTAGAAAAACAATATCAAAAGACAAAACTGATGTGATGGATCATGGATAAACTACCTCTTTTGAAATATACACTGCTTGCCATTGAAATAGCAGTGCCAAGGAGTAGAGAAATATTTATGATATTTGGTACATGAACTCTTAGCATTGTGTACTGCATTCGATTCAAGTTACAAGGATATAGGATGCCTCTTCATAAAGACAACTCACCAAATGCTCTTATGATAAGAATGGTGGGGAATCCTACTGATTTCTCAAAAGAAACACCAAGGAGTTCACTTATGAAATGCAGAATGGAAACTCCTACAAGTGCTTAGAATAAATTAGGTTTCAAGGTCATGGGATGAGCATTATACAAAGAAAGTTTGTCAAATATCCAAAGAAAGAAGAAAAAGAGGGTGGGATAATTTCAGTTTCCTTTGCTTTTTCCATCAAGTTAGCTTGGTATTATGCCATTATTGAGTGCTTTAACTGAAAAGCTATTTGGATGACACCTACAAACATCATTTTTCCCAATTTTTTTGAGTGTTTGAACAAAATAGTTCAATTGGGATGCTTAACATTCCAATTAACCTATCATTCATCATCATCAATGGTGCAGAAGCACCCATTACCTTTCTTCAACCCCTTTGATGACAAAATTCAACTGTCTCATATTCCTCTTGGATAGAATCAACAGGAATGAAATTTGGCATACTTCTTCCTCTCTCAACACAGAATCACTCCAGCAAATTTGAAGTCCCATCTCCCTGTGGTTGTGGAGATCACTGAATCTTGCTTTTCAGAGATGTTAATTTCGTTCCGGTATTTTTACATTTTTTTTTCTCCCCCCTGGGTAGCTGGGTAGCTTCCCCTCCTGGGAAGTTTTCAGAGAAAGTGAACTACCAAATGAAAGATATCGACCTGGAGGTGACAAAAAGTCTCCCCTTTTTTTTGCTTTCAGTGTACCATTTCACCATTAAAAAATTAAATTGGATGCCATTAATTTAGGCTTAGTGTGATGGCATTGGTCCAATCCTCCAGTGTTGCTGGATATTGTGCTTGAGATATGCGGGATTTATGATTCTTTGGTCTTAGTATCGTTGCCTGGATCTTCTCTTTTTAATGTATGAGACATTATTGTGCTAAATTCATGGGACGAGCTGAGATTGAAGCAGTGGTTTGCAGTGGCCGATGGATTTGGTGTAATACAGAGATATCTCATTCAGACATCCCTAAATTAGGGTGAGGGTGAAGGTGAGGTTGAAGAAAGGAAACAACATTTGAAAATTGGTTTTCACATTACCACATCAGCTCAATAGATACATCTTATTGATGCAGAGATTCCAATAACTGGTTCAAATCAAACTTGCTCAGGCAAGTTGCTGAAATTGCCTTTGTTATCCCAACAGTAATGCAAAACTCCTGACAGACAATGGCAGACAGTGCATCTTGCTCCATGTACCAAGCATAATGCAGGACAGATAGGAATTCATTGAAAGGTACTGTTTCTCACCTCTGTAAGAAGATCATCCTTCTTCTTGGTAGATGTTTGATCCTCACTCTTGACAGAGTCTGTCTCCTCCTCATCTTCATTCCCCTATGGATGTGATTAAAAAAAAAAAGTCACTATGGCTTAATGTGCAAATGTATATCCCAATGGGAATAAAGAGTAATTGCTAGGAAAGTAGACTGAGACCCAATGATAGGAATGGGAAATCTTAGCAAACTATCGGTTCATGATCCATCCAACATGCATATATGCAACAAAAAACATTGGTACAATATAATGCCCAGATCGTCGCTTAACCTTTCACTACTAAGTTATATTTAGGACTGCCGCTCAGAGTGATGATAGAAAAGGAGTATAAGGGAATTCCTTGATACATATTGTCCCAATTTACGTCCTTTTGATTTATGTCGTTTTGATATAACATTGATACAACATATCAGGGAACAAATTTCCATATACATTGCATCGTTCCAATATAACATTGTAAAATCAAGGACTTCCAGTGTATCATTTAGTCCATGGGAAAATAGGTTTGAATTTACATCATTTTGTTTTGTTATGTTTTCCAGGAACACATCCACAACATAAATCAAGGACTTACTGTACTCAGGAGCAGTGGTGAAAGGGTTAAATAAATTATTGCCAAATTTCTAGGCAAACAATGATATTACATAGCATTGCAATAAATGTCTTCATATTGCTTAGATATGACTGAAGATCAACCTGAGTGTCTCGGAGGGCCTCAAGTTCAGCTCGAAGATCAGCTACTTCCTCATGAAGGGTGAAGTTCTCTGCTTCTAACTTCTCATTTGCCTCATTCAAGTCATGGTTCAGATCAATGAGCTTCATGTAGTCTGTCACTCCAGACTTCAATGTCTTTTCCAGCTCCTGTCATGATATATTGTCATCATCAATGGTATCAGGGATTTTGAAGAATTGGTAGAATGAAAGACAAGGTACCAAAATAAAAAATTGCAGGTGTGCAACTAATTCATAAGTGGAATAGGATTCTTCAGAGTCCAGAAAATGAGAGCAAGAGAAAGTGAGAAAGAGTGAACACTAGCAAGAAGATGATGGTAGCCAATCTGGAGTTATAGTTTATTTTAGAAAATCCTGTTCAAACACTGGAGCCCAAAGATGCAGTGTAAACAGGATTTGAATCTCATGTAAAGTGTGTTTCTTCTTGCCATGATTCCTCTGCTCTACACTCACAGGTAGATCAATGATCTAACTGGGACTTTGGGATGATTGAGTCTTGGGGAGTAAGCTGGTTGGGAGGTGCATTTGATGGAGGCCATGAGGATCTCCAAATTAGGCATTGAAAAGTAAATGAAGAGAGTCAAGGCAAAATAGAAATACCATGCACATAAGAAAGAATTCTCTGGCTTGTTTTCATGTTCCACTTATTTTACTTTTGCCCCAAGAAATCCAGCTACATTCATGAAAATTGCCAAAGTTGCTAGGTGGGTTAAGAATATTTCTACAGGGCCAAGTATGGAGACATGAGTTGTTTACAACATGGTTCAACTAACCCACAAGAAATGTATTAATCACTGGATGGTTCATTAGGCATGCTGGATGCTGCTTCTTTTTTTTTTTTTTTTTTTTTTTTACCTTAGTTCGAGCTTCCTGCAGTTCCTCTAAAGTCTTTCCATCACCTTTGCTCAAGGCCTCTCTGTACTGCTTCACCTCATCCCTTAGAGTCTGCATCTCCACGAGCATTCCCATCTTCTCTTTCTTCAACTCTTCCAGTTCCTTCAGAGCACCAAAGAATGCTTAATGTGATCATCCTATTAAATGTGTTAATCTAATCTACAAGATTACAGAATCTACAAAAGTAACAGTATCAGAACTCAGAACCACTTTATTTTCAGAATGAAAATGAAGCACATATGTAAGGGTCTCCTCTCTAAAAGGTAGATGCAAAAGTGATTGAGTAACTTGCCCAAGGAACCCCAATATAGCCTTGTGTTAAAACATCCTATGTAGAATGTCTGAGCTCTTAATTTAGCTGTGACATGACTCAGATTATAATCATATAGAACAAGAAACTCAAGAGCACAAAAATCCATATTTTGGGCTCACTATGCAGATACAATTGAACTCGGTTATAACGAAGTCCATTGAAGGTCCCACAGACGAAATCGACAAAGTTCATGTTCCTAATCCGTCATTCTTAGCTGAAATTTCCGTCATCTGAAAAATTAGCATTGGCGAGCCATAACTTTATATTTCCTGGATTTGGCATTCCTTGAGAGTCATGTGGGTGTGGTTGGAGCAATGTTAGGGAGGGATAATCCCCAGTAACTAAGATCACCTTATCTTCAGTCGCCATTTGCATTTCTTGTTTACAACATGGCCAATGAAAAACAAAAGAGGCAAGCCTTCACGAAAGCCTTTCATGAAGGAAGAAAAGTGGGTGACAAGTAATCATTGCAGAAAAGAAAACTCTTGGTAAAGCGTTACATAAGAACCAGAAGTTACAGTGAGTTGCTTGAGTTCAAAGTCCAATATGGTAGCTAAAAATGACTGATACCTACTGTTGCATGACTTTTTCAACACCCTGTAGTATTTGAGATATCAAGTTTTGTATGCTGCACTGTTATGATGGTCCCCCACAGAGGTGAAAAAGACTGATGTCCAAACTTTATACCTATAGCTGCATTTAGTTGCTAATAATAACCATGATTAATGTACAGCATATCAATAGTTTAAAAGAAACCTATTATCAAGCTCAGGAAAATTTCAAAACAATGTAGATAAAATGTCGGAACTTGAAAATTTGGTCTGTGTGGAAATTTGCAAATAGTTGTGAAATTCATGAATGAAAATACCATCATTCAGTGATGGCATGAAACACCTTCACAAAATTTCCTGCATTGCTCCAATAATAGGTACACTTTTGTTTATTAGAATTTAAGAAATAAGAAAAAAGGGGGTTTTCACAAAACAAGTTCAGAGGTAATAGGAAATCATAATCAAATTATGATTTCCTAGCTTCTGCAAATCAGAGTGACTTTAATAACAGATAATGAAGGAACCCTTCAAGACCTTTCAGATGAGCAAAACAAAAAAAGCATCAGTACAGCTCAATTGGTTACTGGGATATCAAATTCTTCACACTGCAAGAGCATCATGGCTCCCCACAAAGGTTAAAACTCTGTGACCCCATATCATGAAAACAAAGAGGACCAGTGAAGACGCAACTGGTAGAGGTTCATCTCCCAACAAGGACATGCTGCATGCCGAATCTGTGAGATCACTCCCTCCCAATTACTTCAAAAATTGCAGATGATTTTTCAAGGGTAGTAGTTTGCCTGGTGATGATACATTCATGGGAGGTTTATTTGGGAATTTGAAGAAAAGTTAAGGTCAATTTTAGTTATCTTGGGACATTCTGTTGGTGCTGCATCTCTATCTGGGAGCCTTTCAGAAGATGTAGATTAAACACCTCTTTCAAAGCAAACTTTTAATTTCCACTTGCAATACCACTCATAAAACAGAACCATAAAATTGGAAGCTCACTACTGACTGACATTAGTAGCTTTGTAATATCACTATAAAAAGCAGATGCTTCTGGGGCATATTGATATGCTTATTATTACTCCATGAGCAGCAATCTTTATTCCCTACTCTGAATTTTAAGAGAATTGTTTTTGGAATTTGAAGGGAAAAATGAAAAGTAAGGTACTAACTTCGTTCAAAGCTTCAGCTTTCTCTCTCTCAAGCTCCAGCTCTGCTTTGACTTCAACCACCAACAATTCATTATCCCTGTGTCGATTGGATGATACTCTGAAACAAAATCAGAACAAGAGCATTTCCTAGCAGGATGAAGGGCATTAGTACTACAATGTATTGCAAAAGCAGCAAAAAGAAATGTAATGCAAAGCTATTCAGAAAAATCTATCACTGATGACATAAGGCTTCAAGGCTAATCCTAAAATAGCACTCAGAAGTTGCACCAATAAGCATCTTTAGGAAGTTGTGGACTGCTATCCATTCATAATGTCCAAGCAGTTCCCTCCTTGCTCATTTAATCAGGCAAAGATTATCAGGAGAACTTTATCATTTTTATTATCTTCTCTTATTTTCATACTTTTACAAGAATCACTACAAACTGCACTGGTAAATTTACTTCACAATTCACAAGCATATAAAGTTGCTGCCACATTGGTGCAATGTATTTACCCATGTTTTGGACCCTTTCTAATAAATAAAGGGGACATGTAATGCCAAAACAGCACTACCAGGCCACCAGCAAATATCTCCAATGCAAGAGCATATGGTGGGGAGGTGGGGGGGGGCCCTAATGAAATGATATATTCCTTTACTACTCTATCCATGAATAGGGGAGAGATAAGCATTATGCCATGGTCCAAAGCATGAGTATAGTTTACTAAAAATTGATGGCCAGTGATCACATTCAGGAAGCAAGAAACCTAGAATGGTATTCAATATCCAACATTGAGTGCACCCAATACCACTTTTGACAATTCCTTTTCATTATATATGAGAGCATAGCAAAAAAATTTCCCATGAGAAGAAGGAGAGCCTACCTTCGCTGTGCATGAAGGTCATTCATCCTATTAAAAAAGATTTCAGAGAGTTCCTGCCTAATGCGATTCTCTTCAGAAAGCTTCTTCCGATTCATATCTTCCAAGGTCTCCTTCAATTCTTCAATCTGGAGGAGAAAGGATGATGGCAACTGAGAGTGAAACTAAACATAAGCCTGTATTTATAATTATTAAAAAAAAACTGCTTATGAGGATTCCAATAAAGGATTAAAAATTACTTCATTAAGAAATACCCATCTTGGCTTTCCAAATGAAATTTGGTTTACCTTCATTGACCCCTATTGTGGCAAATGAATGACCAAACTTATTTAACTAAATTTAGTTCAAATGCAAGTTTCATCAGCACTTCATACTAAAATAACAATTTCAAACAAGGTATTGATAGATGTTCTAGGTCAAACTAAAGAGTCACAAAAATGGGGGGAAGCACCATTATACCCCAAGGGTCAATGTTTGGGGGAGATGCATTAGGCCTCTGATATAAGAAAAATTGGAAAGTCTAATTTTTGTGGTTTATGTGCATACCAACCTGCAACATTTTTTAGACCAGAATCAGACTAGTTGCCTTGATTATTTGGCATGGAATTACCCTCCTATGAGATATTTCCTTTCTCTAAAAGGGGCATTCCATGCCCTCTGACCAGATTCTTGACCATCTCATTAAAAAAATTCACAGCTATGAGGACTTAGAAGAATCCAATATCTTAAGTCTCTGCTCCACATGAGTTATGAGATACAAACTCTCAATTATTTTATTGCTTATACTTTTGCATCTGATGCATGACTATTAGAAATATGCATCACAGAAAATAAGATGTGCATCAAGAGAAAAGGAGTAAGGCAGTACTAATTGGGTCCTTTCTCAATTTTTTATTCAAAAAAAGACCATCCATGCCCTGCATAGTAAATCAATATTTGCAGTCAGGTCCCTCTTGTTTCAACTTCATATCTCATGTGTCAGTCAAGCAATTTGTTTCTGACATCAAGAGACCACTGATATTGTTGAAAATGTTCATTAATGGATCATAAAATGCCCAGTTGTACAAAAATTTGCATGTTCTTAGAGTGAAATGGCATCAATGATGCAGTATACCCCAGTCCAGAACACTTGCCATCTGTATAAAACTCCACAGGTCAAGGGTTTCAGTTTCCAAGTACTTCAGGGAATTTTCATAACATAAAAACTAATACAACTAAAAAATGTACGTAATGATGCATATCAAAGATATGATGTAATATAAAGCAGGTATAATACAAGGCTTTATATATGCACAAGTGTAAAAGCCCGTAGATGCACAGGGTGAAATAATTTTTATAAAAGCATTTCAAGCCAGCCTTTTGGCTCTCTTTTTCATCAGTTTCATTGGCTTTGCAAGCAGCCTGTGAAGCAGCATTTTGTGCATGTTTTTCTGCTCTTTCATAGGCTGACTGAGACTCCAGAACGTCTCTCTTTCTCTTACATTCAGTATATCATACAGTAGCCAAAGAATAGTTTAAACTTCCCTGCCTTTTCATGGCATTTTGACATCAACACCAAAATTCAAAATAGACATAGAGCAGCACTAACTGAATGCTAGCCAACAGTGCCTTGTACTCTCACTGTTGGTTGTAAGCCTTCTCTCAGGAAGGCATTTTTATGCCTTATGTTATTCTTATCATCTAAATTTGGTCCTAATACATTAAAATGGGAAGACTTTTTGGACTTTTGACCCAATTTACGTACACCTCCATGTCATAAGCTTTCAATTAACACCTCACTCATGAAAATCTATTCATCCACCTAGGAGGAGTTCCCAGAATGACACAGATAGATTAGCCTCTTATGAACGACAACGGATAAAAATAAAAATTTTCAAAACTCTGGTAAATTTTGTCAAATTTTTGATTCCTTGATCTTTTGGAGGGGTCAACAGAAAAATAACAAATGGCAGTGCAATAAGTCCTTCAATGCCTAAGTTCTATGATATAAGCTTACTTTTGTTTCGATCATCCCATCCATGTTAAACTTTTCATTTTCTGCTAATTATATGATATTTCACTATCATTCCTCCCTGGTGGTAGCAATTAAAATCTACATTTCATGTCATATGAAAAAGAATTCTGAGATCATTTTCATAACACTAGCTTCATTTTGTTCAGTAAGTTTTAACCCCATCCTGGGTAGACGATAGAGATGAAGAAAGGTGAAGAAAGACTAACTTGTTTCCGTAGCTCTTCTTTCTCAACATCTTCAAAGGAATCTCCCTCCATTTCAGGTATTGTAGCTGCCACCACTAAATGAAAAAGAGAGAACTTTCCTCTTTCAAGTTTTTTTGGTGTGCATAACTGGAAAGACTGATGTACTTCAGATCCATATATTCTAAGAGAATGCATTCTATAAAATAAAAAAAATTCCTCTGTTTCTCTATATATCCACTGTTTTCACAATGCTGGAAACCAGGACTGAAGGCTTGTGTGATGAGACTTCTACATCCAACATGGATTTCAAGTGGATATTCATTGGATATGAGTAAAATCCATTTCACACCTTGGGTGCCTTGCATCTAGGTGTTGGATTGTATAAGCAGGTAGGCAATTACACATGTGAATATGGATGCCACAAGCATTCAAGAATTGGGACCAGTTCATTTCAAGATGTATGCATGAAAGCCAGTTAGAGGGAAAGCTTTTGGAGATGACTGATACCCAGCGCAAAGAAATACTGTATCCATTTGACTAGACACAGTCATGACCAGAACGAGAAAGCAAATGCATGGATGGAAATCACTGGGATGAAGTACATAGATACTCATATTCATTTTATATAATTTTTAAGTCAATCTCCAAGTACTTGAATAAGTACGTGGGGAGGTCGGAAAGTTAGCGGATTTTCACATTTTTCGACGCCAATGAGTGATGAGTGATTGTGGCCCATTCAATTGATATCTCTTGAGCCCTTTCAACATTTTTTTAGAATTTTTAATACCGTACAGAAAGATGGAGACCCGTCAGAAGCAAGACGGTGCTGTGAATGTTTGCGAGACTGTGAAATTTTCGGCGGAACAAAAACGAGTGATCCTCCTCTACCATTTTCGGAGCAGTTCGCTAAACTTCCAAAAACCTGGTTTTACACGTAAAACCAGGCTTCATATCCAGTGATTATCTTCCTGAAGTTTGGCGAATTTCCGTCTTCAAAATCCTCCAGGAACTTCTTGCAGAAGTTCACCCAAGCCTCCTTCTCCTCCGGTTTCAGAAGACGTGGAACCCAATGAGCAGATTTCTTTCAGTAGTCAAGTTGGTCATGAAGAATGGACGAAATCGACATTTTTGAGACTTGAAAGACGTCGGCAAGTCATTTTGTGGTCGCAGAGGGTTCTTCTTCCAGGAATTTTGCCACGGCAGCAACCATTCCGTCGTCTGTCGAAGTTCTTGGACGCCCACTTCGTGGATCATCGGTGACTTCGAAATGACCAGCTTCAAATCGTTGAAACCACTTGAAGACCATGGTCCTGCCTGGAGCATCATCCCCGATATTCTTCATCTCTTCGAACGCCTGTTGCTGTTTCAAACCGCTCCGAAAATGGTACAGGAGGATCACTCGTTTTTGTTCCGCCGAAAATTTCACAGTCTCGCGAACATTCACAGCACCGTCTCGCTTCTGACGGGTCTCCATCTTTCTGTACAGTATTAAAAATTCTAAAAAAATGTTGAAAGGGCTCAAGAGATATCAATTGAATGCGCCACAATCACTCATCACTCAATGGCGCCGAAAAATGTGAAAATCCGCAAACTTTCCGACCTCCCCACGTATAGCTGGCAGTGATGGGTGATTTCCGAATATAGAGCCCGGTCGTAAATTCCGAATCTAGAATCGTCTGATCTGAATCTCGATGTCGAATCTGAGAAACATACCCGAGTTCTCAGGAATTCGAACCCGACTGAAATCCACGCCTCAAGATCCTGATTTGAATCTCAGGTGCTGTCGCCTGAAATCCTTTCCGGAATAGCCGCGTCGCATCTGAATGATAATCACCGATATCGAACCACTCTCGAACCAATGGGATTAAAATTAGATTCGAATGGACTCCCCTAGCGAATATCGCCTACTGGGCCTCATCCTTATCAGTCCAGCATATGAAAACGATGTGGCCTTCGCGATAGCAACACTGACCATGGTTCTGATGCTCATGTGGTTCAGCCACAGGTGGCTGGATAAATCGGGTTATTTTAATATTGAGCCTATGAAGCTAACGATTGGGATTGAGCATTTATGGTCTGAAATGGGAAGTGGCCGAATCCATAGGTTTCACCGCAATAGGCTCACGCAGAGCGAACGCATTATAACGCGTGGCGAAAGAAGACACGAGACAAAATTATTAAAGGCATTATATTAATTCTGCAGTCAAAAATATAGTCATCATTTGGAGTCAAAACAATGTGAATCACGTTTTCCCCAACACGTTCTTGATGTTATGACAAGGGACAAGGAGGAGGGACAAGGCGAAGAGAAAGGGAGAAGGGAAGAGTAACTGGGCCAATATAAAACAAAAAATCACCATGTCCACGGGGAAAGCCTGAAGGAAGTTAGGCGTATAGGCTTCGACGCCGACCTGCTTCACGTCGACCCCAGCTGGGTCGGCCTCGTTTGGACATTTTCTAAACTCTCGAAAGACGTCGAGAAAAGCAAGGAAATCGGCTCGGACCCGACGACCTCGCTCGAGGAGATTTCCCCCGTTCGGTGTGCGCAAATTTTTGAAGTCATTGTCAATTATACCGGAACCAAGATCCGACTGGACTGCGATCGAACGGGAAGTTCAAATGGACAATTCTGTTCGATCGAGACAATTGTGACAATTGTGAATTACGTCTCGTGACAGGAAGCAAGATTTGCGGAATATTTACTTTCGACTCAAACATAAATGTTTCCTCCCGATCCGGACCCCCCCCCGGGAACGAAGTTATGAGATATGGTGATTATCATCCACAGACATGGTCACTACGAAACCTGACTTTTTTGGATTTTCGGGCTTATAACCTCCCCCTTGGGATACATTTTACAGGTTCGATTCACAAAATTATTATTTGTTCAATTATGCAGAGTGGGTTACCAACTTTGCACGTCAACTCCCCCATTAGGAATTTCTGGGCAGGCTTCTGTTGCGTCTGATTCATATTAATTCCTAATTTCCCGTGACGATTTGCCAAGTGTCTTTTCGAGAAAAGGTACTCTCTTCGTGCCGTCCGCGTATTGAAATGACAGACAACTGGAGTCGGAATGTCTTTGCCTCCACCATGTGGTTCAAAGTGAAGAATGTGATAGTGAAGCAAAATCGTAGTAGATTCCTTCGATTGTGGAAGGACGTGCAATATTTTACCCTAGAAACTCTGTGCAAGGCTTAAGTGTCCGATGGATTGGATGAGGCATCCACTCGTGCCCGATGACCTTGTAGGCCTAACGTAAGGTCTATGCGAGCTATGAGTTCAGCCTGCATACATTGTGATTTTCCATTGATTACACCTCTTCCCCACCCCCATCTGAACAGCGCCACGTGCCATTACAATTGGAATTAACAGTAGAGTCATTGACTGATACTTTTGCTTGAAGAAATCGAATTTCAGAGACTTACTTTTCCAAGAAATATGTGACTTGGGAAAAAAAGTACTTCCTATGCAGTTCCATTTATTAAGATAACATTCAGAAAGTCAGATTGAAAGTATATTTTGTTAGGGGTTTGCATTATTAGGGTGCTGAGAGGACGTCCCTTTCCCTCCCCCTCCCTCTCCCCTTCTTTCCTTTGTTTTAACAGGTATCAGTGTATGACCAATGGGAATTGATATTTATACGTCGGTCATAGAATCATATGAGGGACTGCCCTTACTAAAATCTACATTTGTAGTTTTGACATAAAGGATGACCCTTCAAAGCATGTTTAACTGCATAATGCTTGATATAAAGACCACAGGCATGAGGAGATGAAACAAGAAAGATGAAAGACACTGAATGAAAGATGTCACACAACCCAGATCCCACTTGCATGAGTCCAGAGGCTGCCAGGATGCCCATGAATATATGCCATCCAAGGAATGCAAGAGGGTCAGCACAAAAAGTATCTAGAATTGGTGTGACCTAGATGCTTCAGTTATCCTGACCCATGTGTACTTATTGTGTGAAATGTGAAATAGGTGGATTATTGAACTTGAATGTGTTACAGGCAAGAGAGGATAACAACACATCTCTCTGACCCTTATCCCAGTAGTGTAAATCCAGGGGACACCAAGATAGCATTGAATTTACAATAACCAAAGAGTGCAAAGATGACTACAAACATATATCCTGACAGGCTGCTGGGTTTCTTCCCCTCACTCAGTCTTGTGACTCTCATTCAGTCATACTGAACTCTGTCTGAGAACTTGTAGTGGTAATTATCCTATAGGTGACACAAGCAAGAGAAGACAACAAAGATGACCAAATCAGGTCATAACTTCCTTCTGTCATCCAAGATATTGGGTACTAACTTACTCCAAGTCTGGCCAAGGTTACTGTCTTTGTTACTGTTACCTGTTACTGTTACCAAGGCAGTTCAATATCCATTTGTATCCTGGATTTTGTTTCCTTTAATATCCTTTTATTTATGGGTCATTTTATGTCAAATCAACAGTGTTAAATGGTGACTTTCTCTGATTTTAATGAAATTCAGTAGGCTTATAACATGGATAATCTTTCACTTGGTGTCGTTAATAACTCAAGTAAACTGAAGAACAAGGAGTTTATACTCCAATACTTTTAAGTTCGGTTTTACGGAAGAACGAGGTGATACTATGTCAGAAGGGGAGATAACTTCTGTTCTATTTGAGCTGGAGACTTCTTCTTGGGCTCATTCAAAAGCTCTTTTCAAACCCTTTTCAAACATGAGATTAGGGTTCGAATAAGTGCTAAAAGTAAGCTTTTAATGAGGTAGTCATTATAATGACCTTTGACCTCATATTACCAAAAAAAAAATTTTAGATTTTGAAAAAATTGAATAGCTTGCAGACAAGATATGTAGCTACCTCTATGTTAAATTTTACCATAGACTCTCCAGAAGTTCTTGAGATAAGTACAAAAGAGAGTATGATTGATCACAGTGATATATATGATATAAAGGTGGACTTATATGTATTGCACCTATATGCAGCAATGCACAGAAACACATGTGCAGTATTTGTGTGCGTGAAAGAGAATCAAATTTAAAGCGCTCATTTTTACATGGAATTTAATTAAAATAATATCAACTCAGTTAAACGTATTCCCTTAGGTTCCAATCATGAAGTGGAATATATTATGTTTAATGGATTTCATGCAAACAGCACTAAGCCACTCAACTAGCCCTTGGGGCAGATGAGCGAGTGGCTTGACTGATCATGTGCTGGTCTCCCATGTTAGGGTACACAGCTTTGAATCCAAGCAAGTCCTGTATTTATTTCCAAGTGCAAGTCCCATCATGCTTGGGAAGGAGACCCCTAAGCACTTGGGACTCCCATCTAAAGATGTGGGACATTAAAAGATCCTCAATGGTGAAGGCCAAACCTCAGGTAGTGTATTCCCAGAGTAAGTGCATGAGCTAAATTGAGTTTCCCAAGGCTACTCATGTTTGCTGATGTTACAGGGGGGAAAAGCATAGATGGGAGAATGCATTAGCTGGTGTTCTAGAGGTAGGGTGCAATCATGGGTCTTGAGCCTCTTGCACCATGTACCTTATCATTAACATTAATAGAATTAATAGAGATTTTTGATGTTTCACGGGTTTAATATTACAAAACGTCTCCATCGATATACAGAACAGATGATAAATCGGTTAAGGAAAGATTTAGTATCCCCCAACCAAAACTTAATGTGAGGTGAAAGGTCATCATCATGATCTCCTTATTGCATGATAACTTTTAGTATTTACCAAATGTATCAATACTAATGGAAAGGACTGGAAAAGAACTAAAAAATGAGCCTTTCTACTCAAGATATCGAATTAATCCTGTCTTCGAAGTTCCTCCTCTGACTTAATCCCAAGCTCTTATTCTATAAAGTCGGAGTGTAAAACACTGGAACGTGGTCTCCTTGGTCCCCAGTTTACTTGCCAGTATTTGGTGTGTGTTAGTTTCTTACCATTGTTGGTAGGTATACCAAATTTCATCCAAATCAGAAGGGGTCACCTATAAAATGTCCTGTGTTGTTTTGATTTGACATTGAGTGAACCTTATACATTTATTTATTTAAATACTTTATGATACCTTTCAAAAGTGATACTCCACTTACAATATTAGTTTATTCATTTCCTGGTAGGCTTTCATCAATGTCTGCACAATGCACACAAATTTAGCACATAGAGTAAAACTTTTCTCCCAATATGTATCTCTAAAATGTTAAAGTAAAGATATAGGTGAAGGGAAGGGGAAGATAAGATCAAAGTTCATCCTATTGGTATTTTTTTTACTTCCTACCATTTCCCCATGGAATGTTCTCATGGGAAAGAACATGGGTTCCCTTGGTTGAGCTGGATCAACTGGAGATGTGAGAAGAGAAAGAATGCAGATAGGGCTGTGGAGGACGACTTCAAGGGTTATGAGGAATGTGTGTCTCCACTGGACCTGATGCTGCTCAGTGATTGAAGAAGGTGTGCCTGGCATTGGGACTGTTCCTCTAATTGGGAGGAGTACTTCTTGCTCTTGCCAACCCATTTCACTGAGGGTTTATGACAACCTATATGGAGAGTGGGTTTGCTTTTCATCTTAGCTGCCAAAATAGAGTTGGTGCAAATATTGCCTCAAAATTGATTCTTGTTCCTGGACTTGCATGAATTTTCAATTGCATAGGAATGGAGTTCAGCAAAGAACTTTGGTGCTGTAGGGAAAGACTGAACAGTCAAATGCCAAGTTGCCTAAAAGTGTATCTCTGGTTCATCTCACAGATGAAATCCCTTTCTTGTGATATACTTTAGAAGCCTGTTCCTGTTTAGTCTACATCATAGGCAACTGATCTCCAGGGACATTGGGAATGGTTCACCTGAGACCAGGGCTAATAGGGGATGTCCCAACAACAAGTTTGGAATTTGAGAGCCCCTACTTCTAGAGACTCAGACCCATCACTAGGAATGTTCCTGGTCAAAGAAACAAGTAAGGTTCCAATTGATGTCAGTTCTGATGAATCCTTACCTGTCTGGCCAACAGATGGGAATCATTAGGAATCATCTGTTGGCCTTAGACAGTTCATGAAGCCCTATGTATCTATCCTGGCTAGAATTCATTTGTCTCAGTACCATAAGGAGAGTATTCTTCATTACCAGAACTTTTGTTTGTTGATCATTGGCTATTTTGGGATTTGGATTGATTAAAGCTGGAGAAGAGTGAGTCACCCAAGTACTTAGACCATTGCTTGACACCATGATACCATCCCCATGACTTGACTTTGGGAAATAATGCTGTTCTTGTGGCAGACAGGATAACATCCCACCTGAATCCATAGGTGTTTTAGGAGTGCTTTGTTTCACTGAAATCTCAGCTCCAGGTGCAGTAGGTGGTAATTTTCTGATGCAAGATATCTGCACAATCTGAACTCTTAAAAAAAAAATCTCTCAGTCTCAAATTTGGTCAGCACTCATCTGTGTGCCTCTCCTACTGGGGCATGCCCTACTCAATACCTCAGCAAATGAATACTAGCTAAATTCAGGATGGAGAGATTTCCTCAGATTCTGCCTTGAGAAAGGTGAGAGAGTTTAGTGTTCAGCCATAGGGGAATGACTCATCTCTGGATCTGGCATTGAGACTTCACTGAAGCTGAGCAATCCCTACAAATCTGTGGGTTCAGGCTGGTTGTACTCCTCCTCTGTGACAACAGCAGGACTTCTCTCATTTGCATTTGAGGTTAGTGGAATTTCACACACATGGTCCTCTACTTTGGTTGGGGAACCTGGCAGTCGATTATTCTGTTGCTTATTTTGATTGAACCTGAGCTAATTGGCTAAAGATTAAGTAATGTAGGTTCCACCCACAAAAGTATTTAAAATGGAGGTATCCTTGGCAACTTCTCTAGTCCCCAGCTAGTAGCCACATGATCAGAAGACCCTCATGAAAATGTGGCTCTTCTGATTCTAGAAGCAGTCTTGATCCCATGGTAACCCTATTCAATCATTGAGCATTGGCTCCGATGGAGAGCCACCTTCCTCCTCTTCTTGGTGCCTCCATCCTTGACTCATTTTGCATTCTTTCTCTTACTGCATTTCCATGGTTTATCCAGTGCATCCAATGAACTCATTTCATCTCTTGTGAGAATTATTCCAAGATGGTGACAGGGTAATGTTGAGGTCAACAGGAGGAACTGTTAATCTTGTTGATATGTGAGCTTTTACAAATGTGGGACAAGTGTTTTTATGTACAGGGTGGTTATGTAGGGAAAGAAAATCCCAAGGATTGCCTTGTACCTTCACATACTTTCAAATTGGGACTTATTTTTAGAGTGACCCTCATATCATGAGGGGCATGGGACTGCATTCTCAGGCATTCTCCCTAGTTCTGATGAGGAAACCATGGGTGAGTTGAGTCAAAAGGAAATGTGGGATAAGAAGGCACATGGATTGACCCAGAGGGATGGAGATATATGGAAGTAGGGGGGGGGGGGGAATGTACCATAGCAGTACCAGTTGCTGTGGGGTAATGTGTTCCTGTCTTCCTGATATCTCCATCCCAGACACAATGTACATTCCACCTCTTGTTTATTTCAGTTTGGCAAGTGATCCTTTGTTTACTCATGAGAGATATACAGATGAGAATGACAGCTGATCTTATTCCTTTCTATCTTAAATTTTTTTTCAGATTCTGAGGAATAGGATGGAGGTGTGGGTGTGCTCAAGAGCTCTCAGTCAATACATGGTTCCTGGAAGGATGAATGAAAGGTGGTAGCTGGATTATCATTTCGATTCTAACATTACTTGTTGAATCAAAAAGTTAATTGAATGTGGACATGTTTTTGGCAATTTTCTTCATTTCAGAAAGTGCTAGAACTAGTCAACTGTTTCATACCTCATTCCAAATCCATAAAAGACTACTTCCATTCCCTTCCTGAATAGTACTCATTTGTTCATAAGTCTGAAAAAACTGCTGTCCATCCCATTCAGTAATTTTTGTACCCTACTATAAATTCCTCCTATGAGTATTCTTCCATGGTATTTGAAGTTGTGACAATTTAGTGTCATAAGAATTGAAAACAGGTGGAATAAGTAATGCCAACTGATAAATAATAAATATATATTTTCTTATAAAGAAGGGATAAGTCTGATTTCACAAAATTATGGGCATTCCAGTGCTCCATGCTTCCATGATGACACTGTTTTATGTGTCAAAGCTGATTCTGATTGAGCATTAGTGTCACTGGGACCAGCTTCCTCCATGCTCTCATATTATTATTTCCTATTATCCAAGATTTAATGTTTGGTGCTGTTAACTGTTTGTTCAAGTTGCTATATTGTACAGCTGCAGATCATGACAAGTTTTGATTAACAACAACATTAGATGAAACAGCATCATGCTCTATTATCTAATGTTGAATCATTCTGGAAGTATTTCATTCATGAAATAACATTTGAGAGTTATCCTAAACAGTGGCGTAGGAAAGGGAGGATTTAGGGGGTTAGAACCCCCCCTTGGGCTTCCTTGTCAGTGACTCTAGCAGACACATTTCAACCTTCCTTGGGAATTCCAATTTCAGCTATGTCCCTTTGAGGAAAGTCTGATGTCCATCCACAGACTCAAGATACCAGATCTAGGCGTAGGGATGTGGTGTCTACCTGGCCCCCCCCCCCCCCCCCCCTTGCCAATTTCCTGCTTACAGCACTGATCCTAAAAATGCCCTTTTAAACAGTTTTCTGTGGCTATTCTTTCATCTCTGTTACTGTGACGAATATATCAATTGAAATACAGAGTATCCTAGAATTTCTATCTCATTTTTAAATTTCCTTTGTGAATTTAGAGTTTAGGGCAAGGATGCACAACCTCCTGCCCACAGAAGGACTTGATCTGGCCTGCAGCCAGATAAAATCCTTCCACTGGTACTGCCATCCAATGGGATATGACATACCATTGAAGATAGTCCTGCTTCCCTCGATGTCTGGCCCACAGTCTGGCTCAGCTGTCACTATCTGGCCCTTTGGCAAATAAGTTTGTGCATCCCTGGTTTAGGGTATGGGGCATCCTTCCAGCAAAATCAGCATGCAGCTTTCAAACATGAATTATCATTAACCACTTGAGGTACCCCTTTGTTATGAAAATGAATTAAAAATATGGTTTGAATTCTTGAACACCCTGCATTTCAAATTGTAGAGCCTCTTATGTAGGTTAGAGTGTTAAAACACTATTTCTGGATGGCTTTCTCTGCAAATTGAAGCATAGCATAATGACATGATGTATAAAAGAAGAAAATCTTGGTGGACAATAAGAATTATTGATGTGCAAAGCTCTGATTATGGGAGAAGGCAAAATGTCACCATTTGACAAAAATGGTATTTTGGGTGTAGCCACAATAAACTTTAAACCAGCTTATCTTTGCTCTTGATTGAGGTATTCTCATGAAACTTGCACTATGCTTAGAATTATATTTTTTTTATATATGTTGATTTCATGCCAATTGATAGTGCAAGAGCAATACAATGAGCAATAATTGGAATTTACTTTAAAATTTAAAATGAACAAGCAATTCTAATCTCTGCTGAGTTCTGAACCCTCCTGCTTCAATCTTCGACTAGGACCAATAGAAAATTTAAATAAACCTTGTTTTGATATTCATTCATATGTTCTTCTTTGATTAGCTTCATTCCAGTCACTATCTGCAATGATGATGTGAAGAATACTCCAGCCGTCCAGCGTGTCCTTTACTCCTCTACCAACACAAGCGCTTGCCAATTTTCATTAATGTCTTTTCAGTCATTGCTAAGGGTCTTGCCTTGAAGTAATGAATTTCTGAAAACTTAAATCATTTTGAAAACTTATTTATCTATGGACTGAAGGTTTGGTGAGAAGCTCCAGTGTGAGCAGAGATATATTTGTCGCTGATTTTTTTTTGCCATTCCCTGTATATTAATAGGATATAATGCCTCGATTGTTATTGATTGTTCTTGCTGACTTACACCTCTTAATCTGGTGTTTCAAAAATTCTGCCAGCCTTGAAGAATTCTTGAGTATATTCGTGTCTTTCAGGAGGAAAAGGTGGCCGTGGCTCAGTTGAATTCCCTTTTTCCTGAAGCGGTCGGAGCTGAAAGTAATCTCCAGAAAGGACGCCTTGTACCTTGCCTTAAATCACGTGGGAAAAGAGCCCATCACATCCCAACCAACAAAGTATGTTCCTGGAACGTTTCTTGAATGTCAGTGATACCGGACACACGTGTGACATGTATTGACATCGCTCTGAATCTAATAGTAAATGTTCTTCGGCAACCTTGGATACGGTGAAAGATGACGTGGCGTTTCTTGAATTTCTTTCGTATCTTGATGTAGGTTCCAATGCCGTGATATAGGGGAAACCAACGAAATTCGAACTATTTTCCCGTCCGATTATCACAACCTGTGTTTCTCAGAGCCCATTATGGTCAGCCTGAGGCGCGATCACATTGCTTCGCCCCTCTCTGTTTTCAAAGGTCAAGTCACGACAGGAATAAATCTTCAGTGACGAAAAACGAGTATATAGGTCCCCCCGAAATGCGCCATGCCGTAATCGTGGTTGGCTAATATGTCTTTGCGTTTTTTCTCGATCAACATTATTTTTATTTTCATTAATTCTGAGATACCTTTAGTCAATAATATACAGGTACGTATGTCCCATCACCATCCACAATCTGTCTCCATCTCATAGGCAGCGCGTGGATCCCATCCCTGTCGAAGCGGCCAGGCTTCGATTCGAAGAACTCGCTGAGGTCAGTCTCGAGTGCCTGTCGATCGTCGTAGCTCTTCCCATGCAAATAATGCTGCAGGGCACGGAAGAGATGGTAGTCGGAAGGAGCTATGACAGGGGAATACGGAGGATGGTGGGAGCCACTCCCATCCCAACTCGATCAGATTTTGACGTGTCACTTTTGCAGTGTGGTCGTGCGTTGTCCAGATCCATATTTGTTCACTTTGCCGATTGAGTGCAGCTGTCTCGCCACTGTTCCATGGTTGCACCCGAGTGAGAAGACCAAACAGCGAAGGGTTTGACGGGGGTCGGATTCCACCAGGCGACGCAACTCGTCCACATTGCACTCGACTGGTCGTCCAGAACGGGGTCTGTCTTCCACAGAGTAGTCGCCAGAGCGGAACCGATCGAACCAGTACATGCACGTGCGCTGAGAGACAACCCCCTCACCTATCACCTGACAGATATTCCTGGCTGCTGCCGCTGCTGAGTGTCCCTGGGCGAACTCATATCTGATACAGTGTCTGTGATAGGTCTTTTCTGGATCCATTATCTTAGACCTAAAAGCAAAAAAGGTTATAGAAAAAATAACAGAAATACAAATAATCTAGACTTCAACTCAGAACCATTTCGAAACGTTTTCAAAAAGACGCTGCAACGGGAGAAGATTTCGAAAAAAAAAAACGGAATGACTTATTAGCCAACCTAATGACTCGGACCGCTTTGAGTCGAACGGATGCGCTCAGACTCGAACGCGGAATTCCTCCCTCTCAAACCCAAAAACTGTGCAGCCAGCCGCCGCAGCCCTTGTGATTATTGTCTGCCGGTTCTGTTCGCATGTTCTATGATCATCCATTGCATTCACAATTAAGGTTCTATTATAAGCAGTTCTTGAATTACTTGATAATCAAAGTCGGCGGTTAGTTGGTGACACTAAATATTGACCACCCTGTAATATTTGATCTACTGGCCCGAGGAGTCTGAAATGTGACACTTCCGGGTTTTGTGGCTGGGGATTCCAAATTTCATTAAAATCTGAAAGGGTGTGACGTTGATTTGCAACTGTTTTTAATTACATTTCCTTGAAAGACCATATAGACTGGCCTATGCCGTAATACCCACAGCAACATTTTCTTATACCTTTTGCAACTTGCTTTTTGCTGGTTAGCAATTCATTTTCGGCACATTTCCCCTTGTTTTTCAGAATGGAGAGTGAATTTAGACGCAGCGCATTGAACATTTTGCGTTTTAAACGAGTTTTCGGCGCGCAGGAGGTGATGTTCGGCCGACTTTCCGAAAGGAATCATTATTCTCGGCATCCTGTAACTGCATTTCGGTATTGCTCCTCGTATTTCGTTTGCAGAAGGCAGAAAACTGAAGAGTGGCGACAAAATTCGAGCTGGAAATTGTATTTACCAGCATTCGATGGGAAAAGCCACTGAGGCGAGTTTTTCCGTCGGATCACCACCATAATAATGAAAGACCGGCGAAATGACAGGAACTCGCTGCACATCTTCAGAAATCTTACATTCCGCATGATTGATACGCCAATCGTTGTTAACGATGTATCAAGTAGCTTTAGACCTTCTGTAATCCCCCTTAGCAAGGATTGTGATTCCTTTTTGGTACATTTTCTCTTTCGTTTCTCAGCGGAAGGGGAATAACGCTGCGAATTCGGATATTGGCGTTCGGGTAGAATCTTCGACACGCAGAGAATCATGCTCGGTAGGCTTTGCCCATCTGCGGATATTCTCGTCACCTTATATCGGAATTTCAGCGGTTCACCCCATATGTCATTTCGTAATTTGGAAGACACAAAACGGACAATCGGCGATTGAAATTCATCGAAGAAATTGGATTCCGGCACAAATGACGATATTCGGCACTCATGCACACTCTTCAGCCGGATCGAACAATAAAAATGAAGAACCTGTGAAGTCACTGGTATATTTCGATTCTCAAACATGTGTTAAGAATTGCTCTCGCACTAGGAATGGGTAATACCGGGTTTAGAGTCGGAGCGACATCTTTCAAAATTAGAGAGACTTTCTTCACTGTTCACTGAAATGCAGGTGGAACCTTTGACGTATCTCGCAGCTCTTTGGGTTCTGACCGGTTAGGAAATGAAAATCCATTCCCCTCGTAAGAACGTCCGATAACAATCTACCCGGAAATATCTCAAATTTGCATTTGCGATCCGCTCTACCGAAGAACATTCTGTGCGAACATTCTATAGTCACTCGCTTTAACTTCATTTCTGCTCATGGGAATTTTTTCCCGGAAACTGGTCCGACAATGAATTCCAGATTCCGCTGAGCATCTTGAGATTCCAGTCGCCGTATTCCACTTTCAGTTTCATGTAGGACAGTAATGGAGGATGCTTCCTTCGGAACGCCGAAAATGATATTTCATTGCCGAAACCGCATGTCTCTGAATGCAACCTCTCCCTCATAGACGATAACAGATATCGTTTTACCGGAAAAGCGGTCGCTTTTCACCGATACTTCTGCAGACATTCTTCAACTATGGAATGCCGAAAATGATTTACGAATCTCTTACTGGAGGATTCCAATTGATATGCTTTGAACATTTTTTCACCGTAAAATTGATTGTAGGCTGAATTTATGGCGTTTCTTGACGGCATGTTTCATAAAACGGCAACTACACAGATATGATTTCATTCATCAGACAGCAAATCATACGAGTAGCCGATACCTTTAGCCTAAGCGTTCGAGTTTCGTTGGTTTCCCCTATCCGATATCTCACCATGTTTTGTTCTTTGAGTGGAATAAAAGTTGCATTTCGGTATTGCTCCTCGTATTTCGTTTGCAGAAGGCAGAAAACTGAAGAGTGGCGACAAAATTCGAGCTGGAAATTGTATTTACCAGCATTCGATGGGAAAAGCCACTGAGGCGAGTTTTTCCGTCGGATCACCACCATAATAATGAAAGACCGGCGAAATGACAGGAACTCGCTGCACATCTTCAGAAATCTTACATTCCGCATGATTGATACGCCAATCGTTGTCAACGATGTATCAAGTAGCTTTAGACCTTCTGTAATCCCCCTTAGCAAGGATTGTGATTCCTTTTCCCTTTGGTTTCTCAGCGGAAGGGGAATGACGCTGCGAATTCGGATATCGGCGTTCGGGAAGAATCTTCGACAAGCAGAGAATCATGCTCGGTAGGCTTTGCCCATCTGCGGATATTCTCGTCACCTTATATCGGAATTTCAGCGGTTCACCCCATATGTCATTTCTTAATTCACAGTCATTTCGTAAGACACAAAACGGACAATCGGCGATTGAAATTCATCGAGGAAATTGCATTCCGGCACAAATGACGATATTCGGCACTCATGCGCACTCTTCAGCCGGATCGAACAATAAAAATGAAGAACCTGTGAAATCACTGGTATATTTCGATTCCCCAACATGTGTTAAGAATTGCTCTCGCACTAGGAATGGGTAATACCGGGTTTAGAGTCGGAGCGACATCTTTCAAAATTAGAGAGACTTTCTTCACTGTTCATTGAAATGCGGGTGGAACCTTTGACGTATCTCGCAGCCCTTTGGCTGCTCTACCGAAGAACATTCTGTGCGAACATTCTATAGTCACTCGCAATTGCTTTAACTTCATTTCTGCTCATGGGAATTTTTTCCTGGAAACTGGTCCGACAATGAATTCCAGATTCCGCTGAGCATCTTGAGATTCCAGTCGCCGTATTCCACTTTCAGTTTCATGTAGTGGAGGATGCTTCCTTCGGAACGCCGAAAATGATATTTCATTGGCGAAACCGCATGTCTCTGAATGCAACCTCTCCCTCATAGACGATAACAGATATCGTTTTACCGGAAAAGCGGTCGCTTTTCACCGATACTTCTGCAGAAATTCTTCAACTATGGAATGCCGAAAATGATTTACGAATCTCTTACTGGAGGATTCCAATTGATATGCTTAGAGCATTTTTTCACCGTAAAATTGATTGTAGGCTGAATTTATGGCGTTTCTTGACGGTATGTTTCATAAAACGGCAACTACACGCTATACTAAAGTAAGTAGTCTGTCGTTTAGTATGCTCATCGGCTATGGAAATCGGATTCGCAAGCTCAAAGCAACCAAAGGGGATAGGCTATAGAGTGGTACAAAACAAGAAACTCACCTTATTTTCCAGCAATTGGAGTCGAGTTAGTACGAAGAAAAATTATTCCTATAATTATTTATAAGTGTTTATAAGTCTACTAAGATTTACATAGTTAACGGGAGCTTACGTGTTTGACTGAGGCTATTTCACGATTTACTGTTCAAACCTTTATTTAAGAATTTGTATAAGATTTAACAGTCATATCCATGCGGGTACCAGTAAAATTCCTTTTCGAAGTCGATCAGGTCTTCGAATTATACATTTTTCCTGGTAGTGGATTTGGTATTGTGTCGGGGTCGTTTGTCATTTACGTACTTGTGCTGTGATACAACAGCATCAGGTTAATGCACGAAAGTTCGATATATTTCTTGGGATACTCGCCTACCATATCTATGAACGTCCCTCGTTGTTTTATGATTGTTCAGATATAAATATTTAAATATTTAGGTGACACAATCCGGTCCATAGTAATTCCTGC